AAAACCAGAAGTGGCACTGTGGCCCAAAGTAGTAGAATGTTAGCCTTGAGCAAAAGAACTCAGAGACAGCACCCAGGCCCTGAGTTCAAGCTCCATGGAAGACAAAGAAAACAAAACAAAACAGGCATCCCAGGGACTAGTAGGACCTGGAAAGTATTCCAAGGCCAGATACCTCTCTGAGAGCCACCAGGAAAGCACCCCAAGAATATAACAGTGAGACAGAACCAGTGAGTTCAAACACGGTTCCACAGGCCTTAGTGGGAGTCAAGCTGGGACATCCTTGGATTTCCTGTTCTGGTCCAGTACAGCTCCTTTGCTAAGAATACTCCCATTGTGTTCAGGGACTGATCCATGAACCAGGAACTGCAAAGCCACCAAGTGTATATGTATACCCTCTCCCAGGGACTGTTCTAGAACTATTGGTGGACTAGATATCAGTGGATACTCTCCTTGCCTCATTTAGTTTAGTCCCTCCTTGCCTAAAACCTTCCTAAGGCTTTCTGGATGAACTCTCTCTAGTCATTATTCTCTCGTCAGCCTTATCCCTCAATCTTTCCTTTATATTCTACCCTCCCTCTTTATGTGCCTTTTTTTGAGGGACTCTACCCTTTGTATCTGCAGTTCCCACTGTCTGAAATACTTACCTCATTCCCTATTTTACCCAGCAAATACATATCCATCGCTTAGATTTTAATACTATGCTACCTCATCATCCACAGACTGTCTTAACCAAAGCTGGGGAAAGGGACTTTCCCATCAAGGTCATCACCCCACCATAATAGGAAAGAAAATGTTTTGACTTCTCTGGTTCTCCAGTGCTCAGCTTGGAGCCTAGCACACAGCAGGAACTCAATAATGAGTTGTAAATGAATGTATAAGAAGGATAGAAAGCTAGATGGATGGTCAGAAAAATGAATGGATAAATGGTTGGATGAGCAGGGAGTAGGTAGGTAAACAGATGATCACACTGACAAGAGAGATGGCCAAATAGATGAAGTAGGGGAGAAAAAAGAAGAAAAACCAGGTGAATGGAACCCATAAGGAAGGTACAGTCTTGACAAAGGTTAGCTTCCATTCTCACCCCAAGTTGATCCAAGGTTCCGGGACTGAGGATATCAGAGTAGAATCCACGCTGTTTTATCACTGGATACGTCATATCAGTGCCTGACAGGGGTGACTTCTGGGAGTGCCCCAAGTCTGACAGCATGGGTAAAGCATAGGGCTTGGGCTCAGTGCCTGCAGAAGGGTTCCTCAAATCATCATCTGGTTCCTGAGAAGCATTCTTCAGCTTCAACTCGACGCTTCCAAAAACTCTCTCAGCACCATGTGGTTGGTCCTGAGAGGTCTTTTCTGGATGTTGGTCTTCTTTGTTTGATGGCTTCATGCTTCTCCTCAGAAAGCCGTCCCAGCCCAAGCTCCTAGAAGATATTACTGTCATTGAGCCTTACCAGCTGCTATCTCTGTCCTCAGTGACACCATGCTATACACTAACTCTGTATCAAGCCCATAGCCCATGGATAACACAAGAAGAAGGGAAGAGGGAGTGGAAATTGTGTGTGTGTGTGTGTGTGTGTGTGTGCAGGCTGGAGACCAGCCTGGGCTGGGTTTAAACAGTGATTCTCAAATTTCAGCTTCCTGAATAGTTAGGATTTCAGGTTGTGATCCTGAATCTTAATTTGAATAGACACAGTACAGAGAGCCCACCAGGGGATAGTGGGCCCATTCTGAGTGCTTCATGTGTGGAATGAGTCTCACAGAATTAAGAGTGAGGGGAAGCCGTGGAGATGCCGCTACCACATGCTTCCTGCACCTGATCACCCCTCTCCTTCAGTTTAGAGAGCAGAGCCTGGCTTCTTAGCTACAAAATGCTCAGCAACAAAATAACATTCACTTACTCTGGCTCTGGGGGTCAGCCCAGCTGAAGGATGTACACACTCCTGTCTTCACAAAGGGAGTAGCAGATATTGCTAAGCTGTTTGCACAATGGTCACCTGTAGGACAAAGATTTGCAGAGTCTTTATTGGCAAGCCCTTTCCAAGCCACTACAGCTTTTGGCAACCTCAAAAATACATCACTAAGGGCTAGGAAGTTGGCTCAGTGGTAGAGTGCTTGCCTTGCACGCATGAGGCCCTGGGTTCAATCCTCAGCACCATATAAGCAGAAAAAACCAGAAGTGGTGCTGTGACTCAAGTGGTAGAGTGCTAGCCTTGAGCTGAAGAGCCGAGGGACAGCGCCTAGGCCCAGAGTTCAGGCACCATGAATGACAATAAATAAATAAATGCATCACTAGGGGAATTCCTCAGACAGGCGAATGTTATAAGAAATTGAACAAGGGTATGGGTAAATGTTTTCAGAAAAGGCTACTTGCAAAAACAAAAAAAGAAGCCTACAATTTTCAGTTAGAAATCATCATCAAAAAGTAACAAGGACCTGAGCAGGCAAGCCCTCCCCTCCATGTTATTTTCCCATCCCTTTTGCACCTGGGGTCAAGGTAGCTAGGAGCTTGTAGTACAGGCTACTTTTTGTCTCTGTGTGTGCCTATACTGAGACTTGAACTCAGGGCCTGGGAACTGTTCTTTAGCTTTCTTTGCTCAAGGCTGGTGTTCTACCACTTGAGCCACAGCTCCACTGTGACTTCTTGGTGGTTAATTGGAGATAAGAGTCATATGATCTTTCCTGCCTGGGTTGGTTTTGAATCTCCATCTGCAGATCTCAGCCTCCCAAGTAGCTAGGTTTACAGGCATGAAGCCACTGGTGTCCAGAAAGCCACTCCTTCTTCCGGGTGCTTTGGGCTCTGCCATTTGCTGTCTTAGAGATCCAGTAGGATTCACTGGCATAGGCTTCCTGATGCATGTGGCAGAGGCTCTTGCCTACATTACCCTGAAGAGAAAGGCAAGCTGGGTTAGGTGGAGCTAAGTTCCACCCAGCAGTACAGAAACAGCCTGGAACGTGAACCTGTAACTAAGACTGGGTAGAAGAGGCAGGCTTCCACACTTGAGGAACAGGGAAGGATAAATTGGGCTTGGAAGGCCCAGGAATTCAGCCTGAAGGTCCCCCAGTCTCTAGACTGTCTGGCCTGTTAAGCCTTCTCCACCAGAACTCTGCTCCTGGTAGCCAGCTGCCTCAGTCACCAACCCCTTCCAGTGTTCCCTAAAGGACAGAGGACTCCCTTAGGCTCAGCTTCATCTCCCTGCAAACCCAAAGATGTCTGTTTCATCTTTGAATAAAATCACCAAACAGAGAGTAGGACTTGGAAAGGCCAGGGTCACAACTCCATAGGACAGTGTTCCACTCCTGTTTACCCTCTGCTTACAAATGGGCTTGATCATGCATCTGCTTTACTGTTGCATGGAGACAGTAGATGCACAATGTCCAGGAAACTGTAATGTTGCTGGGGACCAAACTGAAATCTGTGAGGGGTTGATTTGCTGTTCTCTAGCTTGTAAGATGTTTTCCTCTGAGCAGGTGGGAAGTGAGGGAACGTGTCAAGGCCTATCTCGTGAAGGAAGGCAGATGAGTGAACTGAATGCTCAGCACCACTTCCCCTTGCCAAAGCCCTTGACACTGGTTGCCTTCTAGCTCTGACTCAATTCTGGGCACCTGAACATGGTCAGCATGTGTAGGAGCTGTATAGACAGACAGACCTCTGCCTCCTGTCACAGCCCCTTGAAGCAGACTTTGCCTGGGAATGAATGTGGCTAGGAGCATGGCTCCTAGCAAGGAACTGCTAGTTAATGCTACTGCTGCTATTGTGCTGCCTCTGGTCACTCAACCCATTTGTATGAAGAAACTAACCAGTGAGATGTCAAGTGTGGTCTGATCAGGTAGAATTTTGAGAATAGTCAATGTTATTAGAATCTTGGACTTATTTCACTTAAACTTCGGGGGCTGGAAATAGACTAACCTCATTTCTCAAAGGTGGAACAAAGAAGCTAAAAATGTGAAGTGGCTGGGTATAATCCTAGCTACTCAGGAGGCTCAGATCTGATGATCACAGTTCAAGGCCAGCCCACGCAGTAAAGTCTGTGAGACTCTTGTCTCCAGCAAAAATCAGCAAAAATTAGCAAAAAGTGGAGGTGTGGCTAAAGTGTGAGAGCATTGTTCTTGGTTGGGGAGGGGGGAAGCTCAGGGACAGTGCTCAGGCCCTGAGTTCAAGTCCCAGAGTAGACACAAAAAATTTTCAGTGATTTATCTGAAGTCAAGCAGCAGAGGCATCGTTGCAATTGGAAACGAACTTCTTCTTACAACTGACTCAGATAGAACACCTATTGGTAGAGGAGACTTCTGGTTGGAATTGTGGATATCCAACCCCACTGATATTCACCCACCAAGCACTTGGCTGAATGCACACAGATGAGCATCATTTTACAAAGAAGGAAACTCAGGTCCAGAGAAGACAAGACAGTTGCAAAGAACAGGTAGAATGGGGGCGGGGGGGGGGGGGGGGGTGTCTTCACATCGGGTTGAACCCAAGGTCATGATCCTAAAACTACAATGGTATGCAAACTGTACAAAAGAGCCCTGAGATTCTGCAAAGTGGGTTCCTGAAGGAAGAACCATCTAAGCAGAAGGAGTTGTAAATTGTTCAACCTCATCCAAGAAGGAACCTTGTACCTCTGTTTCATAGCCCAGTTGCCTTTGTAAGTTCTCATTTGACAAATGGATCTGTGACTTTAAGGAATTTTCGAAGTCTCAGTCCTTATTGAAACTTATACAAACAGTAACTGTGTGTGATTATTTCTCTCTCAGCTTGGGGCACTCACCACCTTTAGAAGCATTCATCTGATGTAACCCGATTTCCCACAGCTGTGTGAGGCTTCTCCCTGTTGCAATTTTATATGAACATTTCTTTTCTTTTCTTTTTGTTGGTTGTGGGGCTTGAACTCTGGGCTTGGGCGCTGTCCCTGCGCTCGCTCGTCAGCTCAAGGCGAGCGCTCTACCGTTTGAGCCACAGCGCCACTTTCGGTTTTCTAGTGGTTTATTGGAGATAAGAGTCTCATGGGACTTTCCTGCCCCGGCTGGCTTTGAACCGCGATCCTCAGATCTCAGCCTCCTGAGTAGCTAGGATTACAGGCGTGAGCCACGGGCGCCCGGCTATATGAACATTTTCTGTTCCCAGTCAACTACAGGAATTTTCAAGTAACATTGATCTGTGCCAACTGGGTGCCTACCGTGGAGCTGGCAAGTGCATGACACACAACAAGTACCCAGAATATATTAGCAGACTATATGAATTCTGTCACGAAGTAGGTAAAGTTAATCTCTACGGCAAGGATAGATTGTTGGCTAATGAAGACCAGAATCTTGGGTCTTTTCTTGCAAGAGGCTGCCACAGGTGGAGAAGGGGTCAGTCTCAGTATGGGGGTGGAATCTTCCCGGGGGGCAGGGGAGAAACAGTCCGTTAAATACAGTACTTAACTACAATGTTATTTGAATTCTGCCCCAATTTCTCTCCAGAGCAAGGCAGATTGGGCACCGATCCCTGGGGGGGGCGGGAGGAATGGGGGGCCCTGGGGCGGGAATGGGGTTCCTGGGCCTAGAAGGCAGCCTCCGCCCGGTTCACTCGCCTTCTGCTCCTGATCAAGGGTCGCCTGCCCACCGATCGCGCCTCCTCACCCACCTGCCCGCTCCGCTCCGCTCCGCCGCGCACCTGCGCGTCGGTCCCGTCTCTAGGGCAGGACGCGACGCCCGTTGCGAGGGGCGGACCATCGGGCAGCGCTGGGCGGGATTTTCCGGTCTGCTCCTCCCCCGACTGCGGAATTTGGTTCCTCCCGCTCCGGACTCGCGCCTTACTCCCCCCCCCTCCCAATCTTTCTCCTTCCCCCCCCTCCCCCCCCCCCCCCCCAACCATGGCCCTTGTCTGGCATGATTCATCCCTTGCATCCCAGGCTTCATTCATCGACTTCTCCCTATCCCGGACATTCCCAGAGTCACAGGCAAGACAGGCAAATGCAGTGTGAGGACTTTGATTATGGTTTCTTTTTAAGGCTATGCAAATAACTCGGGGGGAAACCATCGGGTTACGATTTTGAAGTTGGCAGTTAAACCCTAGCGGCGGACAAATGGGGGACTGTAGGCGGAGAGCGTCAGTTCCGGTTCTCTGCGGTTGCGCACACGCCACCCTCACCCACAGCGTGGCCCCGCCCCTTCTTTTCTCTTGGATACGTCGCTGACCGGCCTGTCACCCTCCTTCCCCCCCCACACACACCTCCTGCACCCACTCTCTGATCCCCTCATGTGCTCCTTGGGCCTGGCTTGAGCTCAGGTTTCTAGACTCCTGCTTTATCTTGGAGACTGAATGGTTGCTAATATTGGATATGATTATATAGGAGACTGTCATTTGTCTCAGTTAATGTGACCTGAATTCCAAGAGACACGTCAGGC